AGCTTCTTCTTTACGATGTCAGGTGATTTGTGTTTAAACTGAAAGAAAATGCTGAAATGTTATTTAATATTTAGACTCTTAGGTAAACATGTAATCAAATGAAGACGAAAAAAATACGATTTTTTTCGTTCTCATAGTAATTCTCAGGCGAAGTTTAGGACTACCCTCATTAAGATCGATAATTGCGTAGTAAAAAAAAGTGTACAAACCCTACGGGGAAAACTGCAACTTTAATCTCATGTCACGTGACCCCTGATGATGTTATTTTGAGAATTTTTCTTTGGGAGTCTCTCTTCGTGAGGGACTTCAAGTGTACATTGAAGGAAATAATTCAGATTGACTAAAGTTCCGAGGACAGGCTGACGAAAAACGTGTATAAAACCTATGGGGGAAGATTAAATATCCAAAAATTAATTTTAAAATAGGTGATGACGTCATCGTTACGTCATAAATTTAGCAAAATTTTTTCATCAGGGTCTTTGTTGTCTGTAACTTTGAAGTTGAATAAACGTCTCAAACTAACCCAAATGCTAGCTTGAAAACGTGTACAAAGTCAATGGGAAAATTTAAATATTCAAAATTCAAAAAGAAATTGCGTGATGACGTCATCATTACAAATTCTCCAAGGACCATCCTTGGATGATTGTCCAAAGACCTACCAAGTTTGAAGTCAATCAAAAATTGCAAAAGGGTAGAAGTCCTGCTCAGAACGAAAACCCATGTTAAGGAATGGGATTTGATGTGAAAGAAGAAATAACAAAAAAAAAATTAAAAAATAATAATAATTAACAAAAACAACAGCTGTTTCGGCTGATGCCCGAAACAGCTAAGAAAAATAAGAAAAAGAAATTAACAAAAACAACAGCTGTTTCGGCCGGTGCCCGAAACAGCTAAAAAAAAGAGAGTTTTGGATGAATGGATATTGAATAATGCTAACAAACCCCCCCCCAAAAAAAAAACACCATAAAAGCTGGTCCACCCCTATAAGATGCTGGTCCCCTCACTAGTAAAATCCTGGCTACGCCACTGCGTGGTACCCATGATACATTTTGTGCATAGGTTACCAGGGAATTCGATCAATGTTTACGCTCTTGTTCCCGTCCCCACAGCGTATAAGGTAATGCAGGGACCGTTAACTGAAAGATTCTTATCAAATATTACTTGATATTTGGACTCTTGGGTATATTTGTAATCGAACAGCTTTAGTGTGAATTCTCTTTCGTTCTGATAGTAATTCTCGGTCGAAGTTGAGGACTACTCACTTATTAAACTTGATAATAGTGTGCAGTAGAAAAACGTGTACAAACCCTACGGCAAAAAAATAAATATTGAAAATTAAAAAAAACAATGTTCCAGGATCATCCTCGAATGAATGTCTGAGTGCCCAAGAAGTCTGAAGCCTATCAGATTAGTAAACTGCCAAAGTTGATCGATGGGAGAATAACGTGTACAAACCCTACGACAAAAATCACAAATCACGTGATGACGTCATCATAACAAATTTGTTCTACACACATCGTTGTATGATTATCTGAAGGTGTGTCAAGTTTGATATCGATCAGACTTAGCAAACTGCCGAAGTCTACTGGTGCAAGAAAATGTTTGAATAAGAAAAAAAATAAATAAAAATTTAAGGAAAACAAGAGCTGTTGGAGTTCGATGAAAATCGCTCAGTTTAAACTTTCAAATCCATGTAATCTCAATATATGATTTTTCACATGATACTGCCATGAGATGAAATCAATTTGCATCTCGAACCCTTCCCTTTTTAGCTATGTGCAAAGTTTCACCCAATTTGACATGTATGTCATAACATGTAGTGCTTTAAAGGATGCACCATTAGCGTCAAGTAGTTTGCCACCTGTTGACGTCTTCGACACATTAAGTTAATGTGGGTCTCATACATTTCCCTTCTCAGTTCTTCGCAAAATTGCAACCCAATGAAACATGTCCCCTTTAATGTCACGTGACTTGTCACCTGATGATGTCATCATTACGAGGTCAATAGTCGTGTCAAGCACTCCCCTTTTAAGATATCAGTCAGGTTTCAACCCAATCAGACATGTACTTCACGAAATATAGTGCTTTGAAGTGTACCTTCTTGTCATGTGATTAAGTCGTCATCACACCACGTCAATTTTTGTCTAAAGCAGTCTCCTTCTAGGATATCTGCAAGGTTTGAACCCAATCAGACATGTACTTCACGAAATATAGTGCTTTGAAGAGTGCACGTTTAATGTCACGTGATTTGTCACTTGATGAAGTCATCTTCATATCAGATCAATACTCATCTAAAGCACCCTCTTTCTAAGATATCAGAAAGGTTTCAACCTATTCAGAAATGTACTTCACAAGATATAGTGCTTTCAAGAGTATTGAATTTAATTCCACGTGACTTAACACATGATTAGGTTGTCATCACACCAGGTCAATTTTGTCTAAAGCACTTCCCTTCTCAGATATCCGCAAGGTTTGAAGCCAATCGGACATGTACTTTACGAGATATAGTGCTCTGAAGAGTGCACCTTTAATATCACGTGACATGATCATCTGAGGTCAATCTCCGTTTACAAATCTTCCCTTCTGCAATGTATCAACCCAATCAGACATATACGATACAAAATACAATACAAAACATTATTGTTATCGCTGAAAGAGCGCAGATAAGAGATTTCAAATTGATTTTATAGGGATTCACAACTTGAACATAATATTGAAATACTCAGACTTTAATAAAAACTCGCTTGATGACGTCATTGCGACAATTATTTAAGTATTATCTTTGCTTCAAGGTTTTTCCTTGGTGTAACTTTGATAACATTTCAATATTGCTGAACAACCAAAATGTTGCCTTGAAAACGTGAACAAAGTAAATAGGCTGAAATAAATATTGAAAAATCGATAATAAATCACTTGATGACGTTATCATGATGTCATATTTCGAGTACCATTTATGGATAAGGGTCGTTCATAGGTACAAGTTTGATGAAGATCCAGTAAGTTGCAAAAGCACTAAAGTCGTGTACAGAAAAAAAGTGCACAAATTCAATGGGTTTTGAGCAGAAGAAGAAGAAAAACTAGATGTCTCTGTCTATAGAACAGACGTCTATTCAAAATTCATTTTTCGGCATTATTAACCTGTCGCTAGAGGGTGCTCGACAATTAGGTGACGTCATCAGTAGATGATTTGAAGAATACTATACCCAAACAGACTAACACTGTTGAAAACAACTTGATACCTATTACCACTTTTAAACAATAAAACCACTTCTGGTTTCGACCGGAAGGAAGGGTCACGTGGTTTGACCCACGGGAGATGAATTCAAGACCACAGTTTATCCTGCCACTTGCTGCAAACAGAATGTTGCGGGAAGCCACGATTGATCTATATGGATTTTTATAAATTTAACGGAAAATTTGAATATTCAAAATTTAATAATGAATCACTTGATGATGTCATCGGGACGTAAATATTTCAGCATTATCTTCGTTTTATAGTTAGTGCTTGCTGTAACTTTGACGACGACCAACGATTACCAAGGTACCAAAATAGTGCCTCGAAAACGTGTACAAAAAATAGGCTGAATTAAATATTCAAAAATCAATAATAAATCCCTTGATGACGTCACCATGACGTCACTCTTTGGCATACATCTGTGCAATAATGACTATGACCTTTTCTGCACTCTGCAAAAAGCCAAAAAATCTTATAAAAACATCAAAAGCTGTTTCGGCTGGAGGTAATGTCATCAGTAGATGATTTAAAGAATACAATACCCCGACAGACTAATACCGTCGAAAAAAACTTGATACCTATTACCATTTTTAAACAATATACCACGTCAGGTTTCGACCGGAAGGAAAGGTCACGTGATTTGACCCACACGAGATGAATTCAAGACCACATTTTATCCTGCCACTTGTTGCAAATAGAATAGAATAGAATTTATATGGGTTTTTATAAATTTAACAGAGTATTTAAATATTGTGTATGTTGTGTTTATTTGTTTGTTTGCTTGTTTGTGTTGTTTTACTCGAAAGCGCACAGGTACTTCAGCTTGGAGGCCTGAAAAGACCTAGAGAGGAGACAAATTTTTCAGTTTCAGAAGTTGGAGGAAAATTTAGCTAGGGGTGCACATGGAATTAGGCAGGCAATAAAAATCCAATCTAAAGTCGATTTAGATGGGGTTCCAACTGGGTTCACTGAGTTGTCACCGAGAAATCCAACGCCCAAGTACTAATATTATGTCTCTTCATATACACGAAATTGCTTTCCGCAAGCAGAAATAGAGATCCAAGTAATAAAACATATTATTTTAGTATCGTGTGTGTTCAAGATACATCGACAATGCATGCAATCCAAAGACAATTGGCTCTCCCAGAAAATGAATAGTGACGGAATAATTATGCAATCAGAATTCACAGACGGTCCGACTTTGGGTCTGTGGTCCCCGCATACAGACCATATGGATCATAAGGATCATGTTTCTTTTCCGTGGTTGGGTTTGGTTTGGTGGGTTTGGTGTTTTAATCTCACGTGATTTGTTGGTTGACGATCACATATCATTGAATTAATTTTCGCAGTGTACGACACGTGGCCGCACTGGAGAAATATATCAAATGGTTTTATTGCTAATATATTTGTATTAAAAGAAAGCAAATGCTTAAGTTTCTCGTCAAGAAATTGACGAGAATTGAAATTGATGAGGATCATGATATTGTTCTTTGCATTGAGCTGATAAACATTCACTGTTTGCATAATATTGGCCAGCAATTAGGTATAATAGTGCTTTAGTTAGTTTGTTGTTGTTTTTGTTTTGATTTTCATAACGTGATATAGGGCCCTCGTTTTCTGGAGGGGAAAACTCAATAAGTTCGGTCACAATTAAAACGCTGACCACAGCGGAGCATCACCAGATGTTTTCCTTCTCTAATTTCTAAGGGCGGCTGGTACAAAGGAATGACAGGAATTTTATGAAAATATTTTGTGTCTTTTGCAGTTTCTTTTGAGGATTACTGTCCCCAGTCTGCATGTACCATCCTAGAGGATCAGTCTGGAGAACTTCAAATCAGTTTCTCTCAGCTCACGTCATTTAGACAATGTGCTCTAGTGTTCGCCGCTTCCCATCACCACGATCATGTCTTCCTCAGTTTGGTTCCAGACCCGCTAGAATGTCGTGGGTTCGCCCTGCATATTTATGATGGTAGGACATATGCCACCAAATCAGAGCTCAGTGTTGGCGGCATATGTACTAACGTTAGTGCTTCCGCACCGAAATTCAAGTACCGGTCTTTCATGACAAGTGGTCGGGAATTCAGCATCGTGCTGGAAAGAAAAGTGAGCGTTGCAAGCAGAGGAAGCAGGGTTTCATTCACGATGTACTACAGGGCCTTCGACGAGGAAAGCATCTTAATACAAGGTTTGTAAATGTATAATGATGTATTACAACGCCATTCGCGTTAAAAAAATGCAGTTATTCATTTTTATTATCCCCTCATTCACAGATTCTCTCCTTCGATTGGCCACAAGCGCCACTTCTGGGCCTTGTGATTCTTACGGGTACTTTCTGCAGAGAGACAGTGCCAAGACCCGTTGTTCTGAAGAGTATGATTGGCATTGAAACCACGTACTCGACCGTAACATTCATAGTCCCACTCTACGCGTGTTGGAGCACATTGTGCGCGGCACGTATTTCTCGAACGCACAAAACAATTATAGGTGGAAACTCTTCATCAAAGGAAAGTTAGGAAATGAATCAATGACTTCCAAATTAAAATTAAATTTGCGTCGAATTTTACGTTAGCTAATGAATGTCTTAAAACTCTTTTCATCCTTTATCCATACACTTTGCTACTTGTTACCAATCAACACATTTGAGACTCCTACAATCTTTGACTGATCTTGAATAATGCAAAACTGTTGTGAGAGGAAGGTGCGGTTGGCAGACGATGATAGTTTGGTAGATGTTCAGCACGTGGCTTTTGCACATGACAAATATCTATGCTGCATTGTACTACTCTAAGCACACAGTGGCTGTTCGGACTTTAGCAACTTGTCTATTGCACTTCTATTTTGCATTTTCGATTGGATAAGTACGTACATGTAATCATGTTCCAAAGGAACTCCTTACTTTGTCCGACACAATACTTTTATCACGTGCCTGGCACAACTCTCACTCCAGTTGAGTTACGTTGCACTAAAGGAAATGATCAGTCTTCCATGTAATAATTGCTTTTGTTTTTCTAAGATCTTGAGAAGTTCCACTCACGAAACGGAAGGTTTTTAAGAGCGCATCAGTTTCATTCAGTCTGTTGTTACAGTCTGCAGTAGAATTCCACTAGACTTGAGTCAATGTATGTGAAATATAGGCAGGGTAATCATATGCATGGCGTAGAAAATAATATCAAATAGGAGTCTGGTTTCAGAAATGAAACATTTGTGAATATTTGCAAAACATTTGTGGATATTTTCATTTTGGAGTCTGGCTGGCTAGGGTTCTGCTGGGTTGAATTGCGTTGAAAATTTTACCAGTCAATTGACTAAAAAATAGTCATGCACGCTGTCTTATTTGACCAATGAACAGATTGTCATGCATAGGTAATTTTGACTAATTATAATTAGTCGTAAAAAATGTCTTATTTGACTAATTTCTCAAGCGATTAGTAATACACGATCAATTAATTGGTTAGCAGAAAATTAATTGTGAAAAGAATCACTTGAAGACAAATTCTGTGGTTATTTCGGCAGCATTCTTATTATTCGCTCGGCACAGACGACAAGCATGGTTTAACAAGCCTTCACCAAATGTGAAGGTTCAATCCTTGCCAATGCAAGGTGCAACACAACAATACACAATTTGGTCACAATAATAAGAATTAGCAGCAATATGCTAAACAGGCAGAACAAGAGTCCAAAGAGGGGGTGACTGCGAAATGCCTACCCGTGGATGTGAGCACCCCCAGCGATAGTTGCTTGTCCGTTTGCGCCGGCCCGCTCGTGAACTCCCCAAATTCGACAATGCCACCCCCATCCTTGGAATTAAACCATCCAGGCTGCCATTCAAGGCAGTCTGACAAGACGATCCCCGCTCCCAGCCTAAAGGTGCTCATCAGTGGCCCTTTGCGCCCAAAACCCCTGCCAGCAAGGTGAACAGGGTGGAAGGAGGGGTCACGTATGTTTCAGAGGGAAATTATTAAATGCGCATGTCCCGTTTTTAGGGTCATTTTTCTGCGTAATGAGGGCCATGGGAATTCGTGCTAGCAAAAAGCTTCTTCATTTCATGAAGTTTACGTCCTATTTTCACTTTTTGGAAATAAAAATTGCTGCCCAAAATATTTTCATGGTAAGATAAGGGCTTTTCCTAACGTGTTTTGCGAAAATGAAATTGAGCAGTCGGCCTAGTAGGCCTACTAGAGTTGTCAAAACTAGTGATTTTTATGAAAAGCTCTTTTTGTAAGCGGTAATTGTTTACGTTTTGATGCAATTTTTGAAGGCTCGAAACAAAGAATTCGAAGTTTTCCTGAAGTTTTCAAAAGTGGGCTGTGGTGGAGAAAGGTGTGAAGGTTTTAGATTTTCTGACAGTTTTGTGCAAGATTTTTTTTCTTCCCGACTGGACGCGTGTGCGTATCGACCTTAACTCAGCACCAATTCCGTTCATGCCACATAATCGTATGGCCTTGTGAGCGTAAGAATTCAGTGACTCGGGAACGAAAGGCGAACACGAAAGTACAGTATTAAGTTAACATGAAATTTATTATTGAAACCGAGGTCTATCAGTCATTATAAAATTGCTAGGAAAATGTTGAAATTCACAGTATAGATCCCCAATTTTACATGTACTGGGCTATATATGCATGAACCACATGAACATGTACACCGGCTCCGTCGAGAATTTCCATGCACCTGTGCATGCACGTGTACTGTACATGAACGCCGCGTTACGCGTGTAACAAGCCGCAGCAGTGCACAAAACCGACGAAGCCACGTACCGTACACAGTTCTGCACGGTACGTGCACAATACGTGCACAGTAGTGCACTGTATGTGGCTGGATCGGTTTTGTGCATGTAGAACACGTGTAGATCGCGCAGCGCAGAAGTATTAAATATAACTCATGAAAGTCGAACAAAAAAATCTAGCTACATAGAACTTATTGTATTGTGTAGTTGAGATTCTGGCCTGTCGTATGCAGTGTCTCATTGTTCTGGGGAAACTGGAAAAAAGACCAAATATCGATTAAAATGGAAATAATTTATCATCGTAGCAACCACTTTGAGGCTAAATTTCATATTTATGTAGCATTTCTTTTCAAGATTCTGTAGTGTTTTATTCGGTTTAAGCCTTCTAGAGCACATACAAAGAGTTTCAATGTGATCGTTTGTTAACTTTGTGCAAACGAAGTCTTCAAAACGAGAAGGCTCGACAGAGGATTGACAAGTTGCTTAGGACATTTCCGTATGGTTCACGAGGGTCCGGTCAAGTAACCGCCGCGCACGGTCGAAGTCGTTAATTTCCACACGTTGAATGGGAGTGAAACATACGTGGATTCGCGACTGTACCTAGCGACAACCTGCTCGAAATTGGCGGTTGCTATTGCATTGCCTGCATACCAACCACCAGTTGATACAAAGAAATACTTTTGAACACGCGCGCTCCAAGAAGTTGGCCAGCAGCCATGACAGCTATTCCAACGTCTATGTGTAAAATCCTGCACTACCTGATGACTTTGTCGTGACCTTTCACAATTTGGTCTTGCACGTAGGGGTGCAAACCCTGTTATCAGGGCAGGCAGGAAATTTGAATAGTAATACAGGAAAATTAATGGGTAATGCAAAAAAAAATATGTTGTCATTTTGACTGATTGAAATTATGACTAAGCATTGGAGTAATTGTAAATTTTGATTGTGCAGAGTATACTGTAACAATTTCCGCTACGGGATGTTTAAGTTGCAAGCACATTATGGGAGCAACACTTATGGTGGGCTACCCGTTTTAAATTAACATCTGGATGACGCCAAGATTGATCTTGAAATTTCGAACATTTGCTCCCTCCCCTCAGGCAGGCTATACCACTCCATGAGAATCCTTGGTATTGTTGCAATACCCTGGCTTTCCTGACTACATCCTTTGATGTCGGGTGTCATTTTAAACTGGAGGGTCATTCATGATACAATCCGATAAGAAAAACATGCTGAATTTAATTTTAACAAAATTATCCTTTTTTTGAGACTGAATAACATATATCTCTTGCAAGTTGGAGACAAAAAAAAAAAAAAAGAAAAGTATGGCTAATAACAGAGCAAGATTTCGCTTAGATTTTTCATAAATGTTCGAACTGTCCATCTGAAATTCGCCCAGTTTACACGTGAATTACCCCCATCATCCTACGCCCAAAATTCAATTTCACGCTGCGCAACGATGAATGCCAACATGGCGGATTCCAGCTGATTTTCTAATGCGATCTGCATTGATTCTGGACGGCAGTGGAACTGGAAATACTTTACTCTGACATTGACCGGTTGGCACTGCCCAGAAAGACCGGCCTGCCGCTGCTCGTGACCTTCGACATGCTCACAAGCCGGACGCAGTAGAAAGATTCCTGCTGTTGATTCGCTTGTTTTTTTTATTGGGATACTGATTTTTAAAAATTCGGCTAGAACCCGGTCACTGAACCGTCTAATGATGAGCTGGAGTGATCCGAATAGGGAGTTAGCCCAATGATTCGGTCTTTAGAGTATACGCTAATGTTAAACCTGCAGTAAGTTGTCTGTCTCCGTGTTTGTGTTTTTCCTCGTTGCAGAGTACCAAGCATAATAAAATAATTTATTGCATTTTGTCAAACAATATTATTTTTCTACCTGCTCTACTGTTTTAATGCTTGCCACGTAATTCCATTGTTCACCAGTTTAAATGTTCGACAAGTAGATTAAGCACAGTGCAGCACCGCACTTCATTGAGTTAGTTAATTCTAACTAATTCTTTTTTGTGATTACCTGATTTAAAGCTCACCCATTTTTGAGACCTTGTCATACCGTCTGTAAGGGGCCCGAGCGGCACCAAAAGAGGGCGCCATTTTCATAGCAACAGAGGCTCCTTTGTGGGAAATGCCCTTCGCTGGTTCACGAATTACTATGAAATGCATGCGTCGCAGTTGCATTGCTGCCATCAAAATGAACACTCTCCACTAACGTGGCTCTTTTCAACCGATGAGGGGGTGCTTCTGCGAATTGAGAAATTCTAGGCTGCTTTCAATCCCTCATCTATACTATAATTTTCGCAAGGGCCCTGGGCGCCGCCATCTTGCCCGGATCGCTGCTCCCGAACCGCGCTTCTGTCGCGTCCGCCCATTGGCCCGCCCGTCGGTCGTCATGAGACGCTCTTTGCCATTGGGTGCGGGCGTGCGCCATCTTGCCCGAATGGAATCGCCCTCCCGAACCGTGCCTGTGTCGCACATTTTGACTAGGCTGACTGTTTAAATACCAATGGTAGTGTGCGCACCGCATCTGAAAATAAAAGGCATCTTAGGCATAATGTCATTCTTCATTTTCCGCGACTTAGGCGACCTGCCGTAGGCCTAATATTATTGATACGGCAGGGAACCACCAAAATGCAATCTACTCCAGTATTTGCTAAAGTTTCTATAATGCAAAGGGAAATAAAAGGTAGAGGTTATCTTATTGAAATGGTTTCAGGATATGGTCAGATGTCAAATTGGTAAACCTTTTTTTTCCAACAGATATTTGCCATATGTGCCATGAGAACAAGACGAATGAATTGGGTATGGAAGTGTGTGAGGGCCTATTGCCCAACTGTACGGGTATTACCCAAGTCATCAAGGGCTCGTGTCTTGCTGCCGATGGTAGGTATTTCAATCAAAAAGTTCATAATAAATAAATCAACTGCAAACAGACTGTTCGTTTTCATTCTCTAAAGAAACTGGACTTTCATTATTTTTAAAGCCAATCTGATAGATTTTCGTGTCAGTTCTGTGTTTTTAAGTCTGTTGGGGAAACAAAGTGTAACGTTTGCTTTATTTTACACATAATTCTGTGCTTTTCAACTTAGGACCGTCTAAAATGATTGTTCATGGTTTGAATCGGTAATTAATCTGTGTCTATTCATTGGCTGTTACTTTTTGTTCGATGTCAAAAAATGCTCGGGAATTTCATGTCAACTGAGGCTGTAAATTATTTGCAATTCGCTTATTGGAATTAAATTACTACCAAAGAAGCACGAACGGTTCCTGCACTTAGATTTGTAATTTCACTTTAATTAAAATCTCCTCGCACTGTTTTAACTCGTGCATGTACTCAGTACGCCTAGCAAATTTGGTTCAGTCAAGAAAGCTCTAGACCTATACACGAGGAAATATAGTGTTTCCCCTGCAGATGCGCATTTATAGGCAAGCACTAAGATACCACGTGATTAAATACACATCATGTGATAAAGATTGCATACATAATATTGGGATGTTCGCTTATTGGGGATAAAGGTGATGTAACTCTGCAGCGTGGTATTAAGCCTGTAGTTTCCATGGTATTCATATCCACGTAAAGAGGCGCAAACAATATCGCTGAACAGTCCCCGACTGTACACAAATTATGCAGTCATTTGGGAAAGCTTTATCGCAACTGACGCTGAAGGTGTCTTTTCCACATGGGCCAGAGCTATGATATAAGCATTTTCAGTACGCCTCAACTCCGTTCCCTTCAACTGGAGACAGTGTTCATAGAAACTGTACAGAAGTGAAACGCGACAAATGGATAAGCATACCCAAAAATACACATGGAAAGGCACCTTTTATCAGCCTAATCAGAACATGGGCAACTTTGTGCGTGGAAAAGTATGGGTTCATACAAACACATAGGCTTAAGTACAACATGTTTGTCCCATGTTGTAATAGTCAGAAATCAAACTCAAATTGTTAACAAAAAGCTGACAATTATGTAAAATATTTACGTGAAGTATCCGTTGAGTGGTATAATCACCTGAACAAGATATTTAATACATGTACCTACATTTGTAGAGTTCGGACACTACTTTGTTTTTACTTTGTGGTCACATGATGTCACACATCTACTACCGACAGTCTACTTCCAGACATCTTGCGCAATGTTGGCGATCGTTACAAATTTATAGAAACCAGGCTTCAGGCTATTATACTGTATATTTCAGAAGGTTTTTCTTGCAAAGCTTTAATTCCTCACTACGGATTTTCCATTTTTAATTTGTGTAATCCTTTATTCTTACTTTCCCCTGAAAAACCGAGTCAAAAGAGTAAAAACTTAAGGCACAGAGTGAAGATTTGGAAAGGGTGGTGCTTGCGTAATGCTCTTAGACATTCGACGGTCGAACACGAAAAAGCTACAGTCCTACAGATCCCCTCACGGGTCTCGGACTGAGTATTGATTTGGGTTTTGTTGTGTCAAGCTTGTTGCAAATATTTCAATATGCTCAAGCGGGGGCCTTCGAAAGGGTTTTTGTACAATTGAATGTAGGTTCGTCTTTATTCACAAAACCCAAGAGCAAAAACTGTCAAAACGTTATACCTCATCATTCTTCTCATTTCATTTTCCTCGGGATCTCCCTGTTGGGTTTTATTTCAATCCATATTTATTCGGAATGCGAGTTCAACTTTGCAAATTCAAGAAGTAAATGTAATATAAATGACGTGACCAAATACGCACATGCACACCGTTTAGCTGACGTGTCACAGTTTTTATCAGCTGTTCCTTATAACGGATGGCACTGTAATTGGGAATCGTTTGTTTTGAATTTATATTATGACACGTTTAATTATTAGTTTCGTGAGCCGAATCATGAATGATTTCAGAAATTGGAGCAGAAGCAGGTAAAATCAACGTCCGCATGAATCAAGCGATGGATCACGGCAGAATTCTCACGTGTTGGATACATAGAGCTATATAGGCCCTATAGCTCTGTGGTTGGATAGTGGTAGTAGTAGCGCAAAGCAAGTCGAAACCAAACTTAAGGTGATTTCACCGCGGACCGAGGGATGTGCAACTGCGAGCGGTTCCGGTGCAAAAACACGTACGATCTCGGTTCTGTAAGTGTTACGGATGGTTAGGTTTATTTGCATGTTCCTACGTAAACGCGAACACGAAAAAAAATGTGGACTCTTGCTTCGTGCGTATCGTCTCTTACGTACGGGTATTTCGCACGGACGTCCGATACGTGAAGCATGGGAACTTCACGTTGGATCAAAACGTGAGAAACCTCAACATTTTCGGAAGGTTTAAAACGATGCATTGAACATTCGTTGATATGAAATTGCCCTTTTGGAAAGTGCAAAGGTTATGCAGCTCGTTATGCAACCACATTGCACGCCGTGGGTGAATTGTCGCAGGAGTATCCTCTCCGACCGCAACAAAAGAGGGCGTGTTTTGTTTTTTGTTTTTAATCAGTGAAGAAGCGCGCCTTTGTAATGGAAACCGCTTTGAAAACTTACAACCATCTGTCTTTCTTTTGCTACTTAAGGGTGCACTTCAACTCTGGGCGGATAAAGGCTGGTTCATACTTTACGCGAAAACGACCTCGAACTTGTGACGTCTGGTCAAATAATTATTCACGTTATGAATTCGTAAAACTTGAACACATTTCAATTCGAGCGAAATTTCGCTGTTAATTTTTCGTGACGTCAAATTCGCTTTGCTTCCGCATTGAGTATGAACCGGCTTTAAGTTTGTCTCAATCAATTTTTTATAATCTGAACTTTTAAGAAAGCTGCAAGTGTGCATGGCAAAGATTGTTCGGGGCGGATCCTGGATTTTTGCTGGGGCCTCGAAGTTTTTTTCACGCAGAGAAGATGGACGGAGTACTCTATTGTCGCCCGTGTTGAAGCCATTTTTATTTCTGTTTTGTCCTAACCAAACACACAAATATAAGACCTCTATATTGTTTATGCTTTTCGTAGGGGCTTACAATCTTTAGACGCAGGCCGAAAAGAGAGAGAGAGAGAGAGTCTCTCTCTCTCTCTCTCTCTCTCTCTCTCAAAGAAAAAAGGCAATTGTCGGGGGAAGGGGTGGTTAACCCTCAACCCACCCTTCTAGATCCGCGCCAAAACCGATTTAAGTTATATTTATGTTAAAAAAGTACTCAATATGAAATTTTGGGGTTCTAATTATTTTGTGACAACCAGTAGAAATTTCTGTTTTTAAGGCGCAGCCACGTCGTGCGTCGGGAGGACTACCGCCCCCGCCCACCAGACTGGGATTTATGGAGACGTTGTTTAGGCCTAATGGTTCACTCCCATGCTCTCAAGGGTAAATGCCTCTTACACAATATACATGGAACTACTCCCTAATCGATACTGACGACGCAATAGTTGAAATGCAAACAAATTAAACTTATACTGTACGAAAGCAGTGGTTGGCTTTCAAAATAGTCTCGTTGAATTTCATCGCTTGAAATATTATGCGCTTTGAGGTCTATTTGGCCGTGCGCCATAAATATCATGACCAAATGAAAATATCTCCCTTTGTCTGTAAACCTTGTAATTTCCTTACTCTTCAATAGATTTTTCTTTCTAACCATCAGCACCCAGTGGTGCGCGAGGGTTGGGCTCTGAAGGTTGGTTGGCCAAGGGGTATTTTTGTCTTGTTATGTTTTGTTCTGCTTCTTCGTGACAAATCTACATCTGAAATTAATACCTGTGATATATAGCCGTGAACATAAGTCCCCTGTGGCGCAATGTTTGAGCATTATGAGCTCTGGGGAAAGTTCCACTCCGAGCGACTCTCCTCCTTCCAACGACAAATCTTAGGCGTAATATTGTCATTACCAAATGACAAGGTCCGGTATTAGAAAAGAGACGAATTTGTCATAGGCACAGTTCTTCTGCAAATTTGTACTCTTCTGTAGTGTATGAAAATTCTTTTACACGCCTGTTTGGTTAGATGCATTTAAAAGTGCACATTTAACTTAAATTACCCATCCTCTCCAGGTCAACCGAGTGCGTTGTTGCTGTTATGTCATCTAGGGAACACATATTTCAGTGCATAGGTTTTTCTGTTTAAATTTTGAACCCAGAATTTACTTCAAGAAAAGGTATCTGAGAAAGGGGTTGATACTTGCTTATATGCATTTAGAAACAACAATAAATAAGCAAAGAAGAGAAAATTTGTCCAGCAAAATGTAAAATAAATACAGTACTTTTTCGTGCACTGGCCAATGTAAAATTGAGGCTGAGGCTGTCTTCCTGGGATAACATAACAGGTTTGCTCATGAATATGGAAATACTCATTAGCATAAAAGCCAAAAAGACAGTAAAATATCCTTTGAAATAGTTGAAAATAAGGTTAACTGAGACACAAAGATGTACTTTAAAGGTTTGTATTAAAATAGACTGATTTCAGCTACCCTTTAAAGCTTCCCAGTTTAACATAAAATGTTTTCGGTCTATTTCAGTGTCTGAGCAATTAATAGGCCTACTTCGTATACACCTCACTTGATACTTTCAACGCCAGACATAACAGGCCCTGATGAAGCCACGGGCACGTATGTGTCTCGTTTCCGTCATTATGCGTATGTGTGTCCCTACTTGATTTGAGCAACCCTTTGCTGTACGCTGCTCATTTCAGGCAACAACAGTCGCCCGTTGTCAGTGACTTATTAATAAACAAGAACCTCTAAAGGATGTAAAATGGTCATGCCATTTTATATTCAGACTGCGGCAATGCGACCATGGTCAACAAAGTTAGCAGTGTGTCTATCACTCGCACGCCCTTGGAAGAGTTAGCCTTGGGCTGTCCACATGGGCTTAAAATCCAAGTTCGCGTTAAAAACACATTGTCACCACTTCACAAGCTTATTAGGTATGGGGAAGACTTCATTAAAAAT